CCGTCTCTTATGTTAAAATCATTCCCATTAGATCTATGCAATAAATAATGAATTTTTGGGGCTTTCTGCTTTAACTGGAAATTTTATAGCCACGATTCGTAACCAACGACGACAATGCTTATAAATCGTGAGCAATTGAAAACATTATTTCTTCCCGCTTTTTTTTATAGCTTCAATATTTTTTATTATTAATTACTATTTATATGGATGCAAGGTATTATAAATGCCATTCTTTGCATTTAATCACGTTCGCAGTGATTTGCATGGAATGGCAAGACCGTCTCGAGGTGGATGTTCGTATTCGAAATATTCGAGCAACCACCGACAGATCACATCGGATCTAGGAGCTCGCTGTTTCCCCAAAATTTAATTTCTTTGTATCGCGACAGGTGTCATTAAGAAAAGTTTTATCCACTGGCTAAAACTTAGTCTCACATTCTGATTTACTGTATTTGCGTGCGTTATTTTGAAAACAAGTTTAAGGCTTCGACTCTTGTTATTCAATCGTGAGTGCAGTTCATTTAAAATCTCGTTACTCAATTTGCTATAAATTTATTAATATTAGAATCACGGGAGTGTTAAATTTCCGGGAGTTTTCTGCGTATTTTTATGTTAAATCTCGTGAGTGCCAACGAATGAGGGCTGAGATGGATATGAAAACATCAAGTAGTAAGTTATTTTATACCACACGGGATTCACAACAAGCAGCTCTCAACTTATTTTTTTTTATCATAATTTTAATTATTACAGCGTTTATTCTAAATGTTTAATTACTTCTTTTTCTTAAATTCTTTTCAGGTTTTTATATTTTTAAATTATTAATTAATTGATTCCCTTTGTTTTAGTTTAGGTTGCATTATATTTTAACCAATTTAAGTTTTTTAATTTGAAGGTATTTTTCCTATTAGTTTCGTACTAATAATAATTTTGTTAATTGATTTTAGTTCTACATATGTATAATTTACATTGAAGTTGCAATGGCTTCAATATATTTTACTAGTTGTAGACTCAATAGTAATTACTTAATTATTATTTTGAAATATTTATCCTCACTTAATTACCCAAAAATAACAAATGTTTATAATCTGCATTTTGTTTTTTTAAATTTCAGTTCAGGAAATTCTATAATTAGATTTGGCCACCCTTAAGCCAATTAGTTTTTTCTTTCAGTTTTTTTTGGAAAGTTTCTCATATTTCCAAAATCTGAATTGTATGTTATATTAGTGTGTGTTGTTTTGGTTTGAATGCAAGCGAGCTCGTAATGTTTAAATGTATGAGCAAAAGTGTTTCGATTTGTGTTTGATTTTGAATGAACGTTGGTTGTTGTTATGATTGTGCTGAGTTTTCGATAGAGGTAAAAAAATGTTAAATCTTCATTAACATTTTAAATTTGTTAGGTGCTTGATTATAATTCTTGAACTGTAATAAATACACATTCAAATTTATTTTTAATTAATTATTTTGTTAAATATATCATTTTATTTCAAAATTGAAACAATGTGAACAATTTCTATTTATTAATTTTAAATCTTCTCCAATTTCAATGGTGATTTTGTGGCGCATCGCGATTAATAAGCATGAGTAGTTAGTGGCAAATCTAACGTATTTGTAAGCTTTTTTATGTTTTCTGCTTTCAGGGGTGGATCTAACGTATCCACCGTGCCCGAAAATCACTGGAAAGTCGTGCAGAAAGAGACTGTTCTTTTTAACAGTCTTCAATCAACAAGACTTGTCAGTAGACTGTCCCTGCACGATTGTAGATTTGTATTAAAGGAAGTTTCAGTACCCTTGCCCTCCCCTTAGAGCTTATCATTCGAGTTTTAAATTATCCCTAGGATCACACTATCACGATTCACCTGCTGTTCTTCTGCAGCCCTCCTTGTTTCCAATTCAATCGTATACGTATGTATATTTGTATTAACTTTAATAATTAAAAGTCGCTTCAATTTTTAGTATAGAAATATTTTGTATTTGATTGGCGCCGCGCGTCCCACCGTAACTGGTGCTATGCCTATTATGAGGGTGCCGGTAATTCCGCAGACTAGTCAGTTCACTCTGACATGGTCTCTGCCGGTCGCAACACCTTCCTTCCTCCTCCAGCCATTTCAATACTCTAGTTTTCTCTTCGCTCGTGCGAAGTTCACTTCATCTTGATTTCCTGGTTAAGGTTAGGCATTTGGTATGGATCGAATGAGCTTTTGCTGTGAAGGTTCAGGTCTTGCTTCTGGGTCGGGGACTCCGGAGGTGGATCGGTCCACTATAGAATTACACAGCAAAAACCAGACAAATTATATAATTAGGATGCAATTGATTATCCTAAATGTCCAATTAAGGAGTTAAGGTAATATCATTGCTAGAGAACTAATGAATAGTTATAATTTAATACGATATTATAGATTATGTAAACGTATATTTCGTTCATGTTTTGTGCCGGGTATGTGTTCTTCTATTTCAGAATTGATTTAATGTTGTTGTATGTTATGTCACTAATCGTTACGTTCCCTTTCAGGTACATAGATCATAGCATTTCCTTTTATCCTAAATTTTCCCTATTTTCTTTTTGATTCCTTCCGGGTATGCAGCGATTTCAACGCACCCGCATGTCCAGGTACAAAAGGTATATCATCTTCTTTCGACGATGACAACCAGATATCAATTCAAGCGCAATAAACAGCCTCTGAATCGCTGCAAGACCGTACGCATTTGCCTTCACGAGGTTGCACCTGTTTTTAAACAATAAGTGTGACAGATCTCGTTTCATCCACTAGCTTTATCATACGTTGATTTGTCTAAGGGATGAAAATTAAAATCTAAAGAATAATTATTTTATTCTCATTTTTATGTTTACATAATCTGTTCATTCAATAACTTTACTCATCAGTTAATTCTTCCAAGAAATTGCTTTTCACGTCTTCGGTAAACAATTCTACAGTGTTTAGGTGAAGATTTATCAAAGGAGCAATGTAAGTAATTATGATTATCATAAAAATATGCTTTAATAATTCCAATCTTATTGTAATTTTTAGTTAAAGATATGATCAAAAAGCCGTTGGTGACGAGGTAAGCTTTGACGAGATGAGGATCTACTCGGTTATTGAATAATGTAAATGTAATGCGATTTAATAATATTGGTCGAAACTGAATTTATAATTACAAATCTATTTGCGTGCATAGTAATGCAAACAATAACAATAACAACAATATGTGCGTGCAAACGGAAATGAATGTGGAACAGAGTGATACAAAATCAGTTTCCGTCGGTCGGCAACAATAAACACGCGGAAAAGACAACACAATAATATTGATGTTACGTTCCTATGGAAACGCGCGTAAATGGGAATCGGCGTTGCAACGGGAACGCCGATAAAGTAAACAAAACGCGAACGAGAGGACCTTCCTCCTCCTATCTGTTATGACAAGTTCCGTCCCTTTTTTTGCTGATGGTTAAAAAGAAATAATAAACAGTGCGGAAGACTTATATTTCTGTCTGGGAAATGTGGTGAGCCGCACTTCTTTCGTCCTGTTTTTACAACAAATCGACGATTTCGAAACGTACGGTTTATTTATTTAAATAACATTAAGAAATGGCAATGCTGAAGTAAACACAAATCTTAATACGTACAGATTTACCAATATAATTGCTGCTTATCCTAACATTTTTCATAATGAAGCAAAAAAAATGAACGTTTGAATAATTAGAGTATAGACTTTATATTTTCAACAATATTCATTTCAACTTTTCGCACAATTTAAACTTTGCCTCCGAATTATTTGCATACGAAAATGAACGCGATACGCGGTCGTTGTTGTATTATATTATTTTTTTTCCATCGCGTCGGAATATAATTTTCTTACTTTCGAACAAGCGAGAGAACTAGGAAATAGTTTTAGAATGGTGCCGCGGAAATTTCCATATGCATTGTCGGATTTAGAGCAAAGCCATTTGCGCCTTGTTCGCCGCTCTGCCTCCTGCTCTCGTTTCCATTCTTATTCATCTTTTTCTCCCTGCTTTTCCCTTACCACGAGATTCTCCTTCTTCGTTCCATCATAGAACGAGAGTAATGACACATATAACACTACAATAAACACAGCTATATTGCTTCAAATAATCTCGCACACCATTTCGTATACATATCCATAAGAGAGTGAAGAGCTTTTTTTGCATGTTACACTTGCTTCGCTCATATAATAAAACCATTGAATATTTCAATTATTTTTAATAATTTACTATTTCATTTGTCACCAATTTATAAAACTCTGATTTCAATTTTATTTCATGAATATGCGACGCGCACTTTATAATAAATACGTTTTAATCAAGCAAGTGGAAACAACAGAATAACAAACCGGAACCATGTTCACTTTGCTGTGCTTCCCGACTCCAATTTGCATCATATTCTCAGCGTTTGTTTCGTATACGTTTCGTTTTGAATTCCATTTATTCCCAGACTTCAGGATTAATTGCTATCACAGTTTTTAATCTACCTGGAAAAATACACTTTTTCAAGTACACTATACTACTTGCAAAGTAAAATGTACAAGTAAAAGTAAATACCGTACTTGAATAGTGTATTATTTCTTACTATTTCAATCATATCCATCGAAATTCCATTATTTATTATTCAAATACACTTTTCAAATTGGAGTGCTTGCGATCGGATTTCGCTCCGCTGAACAAATTGCAGAAACATCGATATTCATCAAGCAATTGCCGGTAAAAGTGGTAACTTGATCTCCGAGCATTTTATTCTCTATCAGTTCAAGTATGCAAGAGAGTGATTCTAACTAATTGCTTATAGTATTTCACAGCTTTGACACAAGGTGACAGCTGTCATTTCTCAATTGTTTATGACATATAAAATATTGACGTTTAAACGCTAGACGACAGCTGTCATTTTGCGACCCATTAAAACCGATAGTTTTAATCATAACTCCAAATGTATTTAGTGAATTGTTATTCAGCATTATTAATATTATGAATATTTACTTTATAAGCTTACCAATTTTATTTTGTAAATTGCGGACGCCGGTAAAGCCAATATCTGAAAGGTGTAAAAATGTTTAATAAGTTGCATTTTCAAGTGAACTTTTAGAAATAACCTAACCTAACATTACCTAACCTCTTTAATTATATTGACAGGCGTAACTTGTAATGCAAACAAACAATCGTGTTATAGTACGGTTATAGCGAACTTTAGATTCATTTCCATAATGTAAAATTATATATGTGATTTATTTGTAACAATCAAGTTTTATGTTATAAATTTACTGTAAACAAGCATATTTTATAATTGTAAAATTGTCTTTTAATAATAGCTTACGTGAATTATGATCGAGTTCAGCTTATCTTTATCGAACTATATAATCGCATGACCGCTTTTTTTTTTTCTTTAAAGAAAAAAGGGGTTGCGAAGACATACAAATTTGCATTGCTAATAGAAATGTAATTTAGTATTTAATAACCTTATATATCATTTTAATTAGTAATTATCATAATAATTGTAGACTGTACAAACAAAATGAAATGCGTAAATCGATCTCGGAAATATTCAGTTTCGAAAATGCGTAAAGAAATTATGGTAGGTTGTCGAGTGGACAACTGAGGACAGCTGAAACGGGAGAGTTATTTATGGAGCGAATCTAATTAAATGATTATTGTAGTTTACGGGCGTCGAGTTTGTCCTAAGTTCACGGTCATTGTGTATGAGTACTGACCTTTAACATTTTTCGTAATAGAGTGAAATAAAGAAAGGGGAATAACAGAGAGAGAGAGACACGTTATCAAAGCCATTTAGATACGAAGCTTTTTACTATGACGAATCGCGATGTGTGGGGGAGCGGGACATTAAATCCGGACATAAACATACGCCCAAAGTTTCCGGAAAAGTAATACAAAAAAAAAATAGGAAGGGAGCGAACGTTATCTAACTCGTTATCATCAACGGGAGAGGATAAACGACCGGAAGAATAATGCACAATTGCGGTTCAGTTTTTGTTTTTCCATGGCGCTCCTGATTGCGTAACAACAACAAAACGATGTGCGCTGATCAAATCCCGACTTCATTTCAGAGCCGGAGAAAACGTCCATTAAAAATATAAATAAGCAACGACAACGGCACAGAGAAACAAGATAAAAGAAAACAAAGTACCGAGCGAAACGCAATTACGCTTTTGTTGGCGCTGCAGACGTGTGTATATATATACATGGAGATTAAAGGCGTGCACATCACCTTTTGATGCGGGTAGCATTAGGAACATCATTTTTTTTGTCACTCTTTTATCTTCGTTTCATTTCTCTTTTTTTTTCAACATGCATTTATTAGCCACCATAATCCTGTGTGTATACATTTCGCAGTGTCATTATTACATCAAGTCAGTAAATGTGCAGTTGTTTATTCACAATACATTGGAAATTGCATCGTTTCATCATTTCCGGTTTGTAAAAAAAAATCTCTTTTTGTACTATTTTACGTAACCTCGATTAGTCCTGTTCAAAACAATCAGTTGTTAATAGTGACAGCTGTCATTTGATATACAAATTTTGACGTTTTGACGCAAGGTGACAGCTGTCATTTCGCAAAGTGTAAATCCCATATTTGCATCAATTTTTGATATAAATTTAAACAGTGCATAGATGAAACTCGAATAAAAATGAGCTGCAACAATGGCCCATTGATTTTCGTAATAAAGTAAGCTTAAAAATAAAATTATAAGCAAATAATGGTATCATTATGTCTTCTTTACATACGGAGGATTGTGTAACAGCGCTGGAGCGAGAACGAAGTTGCCGTTTCTTCGTTTATAAATAGATCGTATTCGTATTGCATCTGCATCCAATATGTTGATGAGCCAGTAGTAGAAGTAGTATTCGTTATACGAGCGTGTTTGTTGTCAGTTGGCAGACTGGTTAGTTTTCTTCTTTGAGATCGTTAACGGGCGGCATCTGATTTCATCAGACGCGTAAACTGAACTAAATAAACGCAATCGGAATGAATTCTAAATTCCTTCAAACGATATGTAAATATATGCCTTTTAATATGCAACAGGAGGAGTTGATAACAGAACGTGCTAAAATAAATACGAAAATAAAAAAGTAAATATTTGTACGTCGTTCCGACAACACGAAACGTGAAATCTCAATTGATTTGCATATTTACACGGATAAGATTACATAGTCCATTTTCTTTTTACGACAACGATAAAGATGTCAAGTTATTAAGATGCAATTGAAATGTTTCACAACTTGAAGATTGACAATTCGCTGAATGACAGCTGTCATCTTGTGTCAAAGCGAAGGACTGGTGAAATACTCAATAAACAAATTATTTGATCGTAAAATTACAACTGTCACCTAGTGTCAAAGCAACTATGTTGATAAACGATGAATTTGTTGATGAATGTGTCCAAACGAACTTAACAAAAAGTAATTAAGTACTTTTCTTTAATTGTTATTGTTGGTAGTTTTATAAAATGCAATTTGTTAAAATGACAGCGCATTTCAGCTGTCTCGAGGATCATTTGCATCGTGGATCCCCATAAATGTATGCAAAGTGGTCGTCGTCGTCGCATATTATTATTATTATCCAGGCTATACGACAATTTTTCTTCACCTCTTATCGCATCCAACTGGCCGAGATATTGTACGAAACACTTTTCTTAATGGCCACTATTAAAGACCTCTTATCTTTCTTCCACCCTCCCCGCCTGGTGCTTGGCTTGCTTTTCTTTTTGCCGGTGGTGGTGGTGGTTTGTAGAAAATGGCGACGGTGGCGGCGGCTCGTGAAAAATGTCCGTCCGCAAAATTGAATCCGCCTCGGGGAAAAATTAGCTCTTGCATAAAATTATCGTTAGCACACATACACAACGTGTACAAGCGGGTTCGACCATAATTTTATCACACAAGAAACGTTCATTTCATATTCGCTAATTACCAGCTTACCAGAATATTTCCTCTCTCCTTCCTCCCTACCCCACCCACTCCACGCTTCTGTATTTTGCAGCGCAACACATTTTTGCAGAGCATGCGAAAAAGAAAAAACTTTCAGCGCTTACGTAACAACGTCTATTATTTTCGAAGTTTCGTATACATGGCAAGAAAACTTAATTAAAACGTTGCTTTCCTAATTACGCTTTATTTGCTATAAACATATTAAAAGAAAAAAAACGCGCGGTCTCTACTTTTAACTTGACGCATCACGCGTTTACTTTAATATCGTGTTTTACCTAAACGCAATCGAGAGGATATTGAATTATGTACTAATCAGATCGGATACTTCTAGACTTATTCTATCATTACGTCATGTTTGTCTATTTGACAGAAGTCACCATGTACATCAGCGGTCGGGGAACCAGGGTAAATTACCCCAAATGGGGTAAAAATGATTTTTTTTGGGTAATAGGGAAATTTTTCTAATTTCATCTTTCCATACTCAGAGAACGGTTCTCTGACTACTTTCCAGATCTTGATGTACAAACTGTGAATTGGGTTGTAGATCCTTTTAAATGTGAAATTACCAGAAGAACCTCCAGGTTTGGCAGAGGCAATTCTTGAACTTCGATCCAATACTGAAGCACGTATTCAATTTGAGACCAAAGCAAATCTGTCGTCTTTTTGGTTGTCAAAGGCTGCAAAGGCTTTCAAAATTGCACATGAGGAGGCGGTAAAAAAATTGCTGCCATTTGCAACAACCTACCTTTGTTAAGAAGGCTTTTCCACTCTAATGAACATAAAAACGAAAAACAGAAATCGATTAAACGCCGAAGACTGTATTCAAATTGCTCTTACATTAAAAGTCCCAATTTTAAAGTAATTATATCAAACATGAAGCAACATCATTTTTCAAAAACCTGAAGGAGGAAAGTTTCAATTAATTTTTGTTTGTTTCAATTTAAGAATTTTATTTTGTTTGTCTATTACATACTTACTATTTTCATGTAACTTTTTTTTTTATAAATATGTAATGTAAATAATGTTTATTTAAAATT